GTCCCCCGGCGTCGCTGCCCCGGAAACACGATGGAATCGGTTCAGGCATCGTTTAACCTTCTGTAAGTCCTTGTTCGGATTCAACTTTTGCTACTCTTCTTCAAAGGTTTCTCAGAAAGGTAGTGGTGAGAGAGAGAGAGAATGGGGAAACTGAGTAGGGGAAGAGCTTTATTGTCCAAGGAGGCAAAATAGAAACTGGAGAAGAAGAGGAAATAATCGGACCAGATGATGAAAAGAGGCGCTAAAGTCACCGATGGTGAAAGTAATGGGAGGATAGTGGGGCCCTTAATGCCGTGGGGCCAATCTGATTTCCTGCGCTCCGCGCCGTGGATTCTACCGTTTCTCCTTCTTTTTTTTTAATTTATTATTTTGGATCGCGGGGCCGCCGATTTTAAGCGGGGTTTATGCGAAATTCTGCCAAATGGTACAAAACATATTCGTAAATCCAAAGGCGGTGATTGGCTGCAATTAGGTTTACGTTGTTAAATAATATTTAATAAATCCGATTAATTTTGCAGTGGAGAATGGAGATGTGGTTTTGAATGACAGAATAAAATTTTAGTAATTGTCATTAAAAAACAGGTTTTCGGGATTTAGAAAAGCTAATGAGTGTATACACACATCAATATTATCGGCACAAATCTCAAAGTAATTGAACGGCTAAAAATGATGACATAACGATCGAAGAATTAAACTTAAAAAATATGATTTCAACCGATCATCTGAAAAGTCAATAGACTGATCAAGTCCATCCTCGGAGAATCTGGTTGTTAAGGCTTACTTATGGTCCCAACCACCAAAGCTCCCCAAATGTTGGTTGAATGCAATCGACCGACATGCTGCTCATTCCTTGGCAAAAACAATTCTCATGAGGCCCGATGCTTTGGTCGACCAGAGCATGTCGACCGGCTTATTACCACCATATCCAAATTCAAATTATAATATCAATATAGTATTAAATCAACACATGAATTTCATTAAGGATTTTTTTTTCATAATTGCTCCATTCTTTCAGTAATTAAGGACTATTTTCATAATCAATCTATAATTGTCTAAATAGGATTATTTCATACATATTATAATATGTATGGGCCGAACAATGTAGAGCTAAATATCAGCTACTTGTCTCGCAAGTCTCATAATTTGGAGAAACCAATTAGCTTCAAAAGAAACAATAACAAATAAATAAAAGAGTGAGAATCATTACCTACTGACCTTCCTCGAAAACAAAAGAGTAGGTAGAACTAGTTCTAACAAATCAATTAAACATGAAAGATCTGATTCTATTGCTTGCATAATGTGGCATTTATATGTATAAAAAAATGATAATTTCTACTTTTTAGATGTACCATTTTGCCAATTTTTTTATGTTTTTGGATAAAGAATAATCTTTGATTTGATGATTGCAAAAAAGTAGCCGTTTGATTGCAAAGACAGTATCTGTTTCAATGTTTTGTTTTGTTTTTTTTTAATTGGTGAAGGAGAAGTAGCTGAATGTGTCTCCCCCTAAGAGTCATCAAATGTCTCCACCTAAGAAATATATGTTTAAACCTGTGACTTCATCAATCTTTGAATTTATTTATTTATTTTTTTTCATTGTTGTGTATAGGGCTGTCAAAAAAGTTCGTTGTTCGCGAATAACTCGTGTTCGGCTAGTTCGTTAAGTAAATGAGCCGAACACGAACAGCTCTTTGTTCGCTCGTGTTCGGCTCGTTTTAGCTCGAAAAAAAAATTATTATATAATAATATATTACATATATTATTTATATAATAATATATTATATATATTTATATCTAAGTTTAAATCATAACACATTGTGTGGTAATGTTGTTAGTTTTTTTTTTTTTGTATACATTTGGTCCGGGTTCGAATCCAACATTTTATATATTTTTTTTCAATTTTATTTTGACGAGCCAATTTTGAGCCGAACACAAACACGAACACATTGTTCACGAGCCAATTTCGAACACGACCAGTTTCGAACGAGCCGAACACGAGCCGAGCTTCCTAGCCTGAGCTCGCTCAAGCTCGACTTGTTTACAACCCTAGTTGTGCAAAAGTTAGTTATGTGTTAAATATATTTTTATGATTGTTTATATAAGGATAGAATTCACTTATATTTAGAGTGGGTAATTGCCCCACTTAAATTTATAATTTCTCTTTATAAATAATAAAATTTAATATACTTGAATATTTATTAAAATGATGAAGAAAATTCGAACGAACTTTGGAATTAGCAATTCAAGTTAGCGGACGGTCAGTGGTCAAAGCCTCGACTGGTCTTTCAACAGTCTCCTTATAGGACTCAGAATTTTCTAATACTTATTTTAAAAAAAAAACACTTGACTTTATTATTTTTATATTTTTTTATTGAATCAAATTCGATCGAACTGTTAAAAGTTGACCCACCGGTTCGGCACACAAAACAAATTTGAATACAATTGAGTGTGATTTGATTCAAATTATATATCTTAGTTTATGCATATTTGCGTGCATCATGTGCATAAATATATTTTTTTTTTCCAATTGTTTTCTTGAAGATCTAATTAACTATCTAATAGGTGTAAGTTTTTTATGGTTAAGTATATCTAAGGCATGATATCTTAAATAATTTTTTTAAAAATATTAGGTCACATATAACTAGATGCAAAAGAGAAGGCCTAGGCTACAATTCTAATGGAAGACGACATGTTGTTATGAAAAGTATTAAAATCTAATGATTTTTAAGTTAAAAAAATGTGTATATTGTGAAGATTGATATTAATTAAGCTGATTTGGAGAGATTTAGTTATATGATATTTCTATATTATGAAATTATGAAACTTGATTTGATGAGGTATAAATATATAATACTTCCCATATTTGAAATATCTCTAATTTGTATACCTTAATCATCTTTTATTTATATGAGAGATTATAGAGGATTTTTGTATGTTGAGTTGTAACCTCTCCTCGTAGACGTAGGCGAATTTGTGTCGAACCACATAAGTCATCGTGTGTTGTGTTGTTTATTTGTTGCGTAAATTTAATTTTCTCATTGTTTTGCATAATAATAGGTATCATAATGGGATATGAGATTTAGATGATGGGCATCCACAATTCAAGTGTAGTGACTATGAGATAAAGAGATTGGAGTAAGTTGGGCTGCAAGATCTATTAGATTCATGAAAAATGATAAGTCATCGAGTACTTAAATATCTACCACAATGGTGAAAAAGATGTTGATTCATTAGGTCGTTACGTGTAACATTAAGATCAAGGTGGATACATTTGATGAAAAAGGAAACTTTAGCTTGTAGTGAAACGAGATAAAAGATGTGTTATGCTCTTTAAATTTTGAGAAAGTTATTGATGATGATGAATGCCTGGGAGAGATGTCAGAAAGAAATTTGTTAAAGATGAACCGAAATACTTGTGGCTTGATCTAAAATTGATCATCTCAGGAGATCAAATATTAGGCAATGATGGAAACTTCTACATGAAAATTATAGATGATGGTGGAGAACAAATATCTCACAAAATGCAAGAGAATTATCTCCATATGAAATGTAGACTCTACGGATTTCAGGTGAGACGTTAGGTAATTATTGATGAGCACTTGAATGATTTTACAAGGCTTTTAACAAACACGATAAATGTGGATGAGGAGCTTAGAGATGAAGACAATGCACTTATTCTATTAAATTTGCCCCCGAATGACTCCGAAAACTTCACAATGACACTCATTTAAGAGAATAAAATCTTTAATTATGTTGAGGTGACCACAACTTTGTTGAACTATAAGTTTCGTTGAAGGGATAAAGAGTAAGCAAAGAAAGGGTTTGTTGAGGTACGTGCACTCCAACACTGTAAACCTAAGAAAAAGAAGAATTGGGCAAAAAAGTGTGGCAATGACGATACTTCTCAAAAGCAGGACAAGTCTCATGGGCTCAGCCTTCGGAAGAATCAGTTTGCTTTTTTGTTTAGCGACAAATCTCACATTTTTCGACGGTTTTATGATGGCTTATTTATTAAGTTATTTCTGAAGGACATGCCATCACTTATGAATAGTAGATTAGTTTCCGGTTGTTTTTATTATAACTGATGCATTTCTCTGTGAGTTATAAGCATATAATAACTGGCGACCATATGTTGTTGGTTATTTACGAACCCGCCATTTGAAGGGGTGTTAACCTACAATTAATGTCGTTGGTATTAATGTTAATAACATATGAAGTTTAAGTCATTTATTAGTCGTCAGAAAGAATCCTACACCACCAAAATTCTTTGCGCCCCTAAACTTTTCAAAATCCCCCAATTGGAAAGAATCCTATTCCCTTGACTCTCATGTACATAATGATAAAATTGGACCCAGGAGAACAAAACACAATCTTCATTGGCTTTAGGCATGGAGTCAAAGGTTTCAAACATTATGATCAGGTAAAGAAGAATATTGTCATTAGCAAGAATGTCATATTTGATAAGGTGATCTTGTTGAAGCCTCAGAACTCGAAGCAGACGGAGAGTTTTATTGGGACCATTGGTATGTAGCAGAATTTAAAGTTTGATGCAACTCCATTTGTTCCACAGAATTCATCCACTCTTATTCATGTACCTGATTCATTTGTAGCTCAAGAAGTACATATTGATAGTGTTAAGATGTAGATGAATGAAGAAGTTAAAGATGAGGTCCTTGCTCAATAATTTATTATGTCATGTTAGAGGTCATTTTGATCATATCTTAATTGTCCGGAAGTGAGAAATTAGGTTAAAATTACTATGAAAAGTATTAAAATCTAATGACTATAAATTAAAAAGTGTGTATATTAGAAAGATTGATATTAGGTAACCTAATTTTGGGAGATCTAATTATATGATTGTTCTATAGTTTGAAGCCTAATTTTAAGAAATCTAAATATATGATCTATTCCATATTTGAAATATTCCTAATTTGTATGCCATAATCCTCTCTTATTTATAATAAGTTGTAACCCTAATTCAGCTGATTTT